TTCGATTACGAGAGGACGACGCGTGTGCTCGTGTCTTTTTTTTTTCTCTTTTTTTTTTTTTTTTACTGTCCGGATGAGCCGAGACCCTCTGGAGGATAAGGGGATCAGCGATGACTCCACGTGTATCGGGAGGAAAAGGACCTTGGGGCTTGCTAGCGGCGTATATAACATGTTGGCTGCGATGGACGAGGAAATCATGCGACGCGTGCTCCATTTTTCGGAAGAGGGTGCCTTTATATGTGTGCTTTGTATGAATAATACAATGTAATAAAATGTATCATAATATGTACGATTCGCTCGATGGTATACCCATACTTTTTTTTTTTTTATATTACAGTGTACCGGCCTACTATGGGTATGTACACTGTCTTTATTCTTTCAACATTTACATTGTCTTTTAACATGTCGTTTTTTCATCGTATCATTATACATTTCTCTTATTTTCGCTTGTCATTACATTTTCGTTCTTTATTATCCGCATATCATATCTTTTTTATCTCCCCGGTCACGCAGGACCGGTTATCGCGAGCTCGTCACAATTCCTTATTTTTCAATCGCTTTTTTATTTTTCTTTTCATCTTAAATCTAAATCTTTATCTTTCATGAATTCGATACCCGGCAAGAACCATCAGAAAAAATCTTAGTACCCCCCCGACCGGAAATCGAACCCACGACCTCTTGAGCTGTGTTGTTTCGGTGGCTATACATGCTATAACCACTGAGCCAACGACGAGCTCTATATACCTATACTTATACATTGCACGCAACTCTGTATATCTTATAGACTCGGCTAAGTGTTTCGTGATTTCGAGTTTATCGAGATGTTTATTCGAAACTAAGTACATATTATTGCGACGCACACGATAAGAAAGGCTTGGAGCAACGATACCCAAGTATACTTAATACACCTCTTCCCCTTGGACGGGGAGGTCCAATAATTCGAAAATATTATTTGCACGCGCGTGCAACACATGGGTATGCACTGTTTTCTAATCACATTATAATATGCATGCACTATGAACATCGCGTTCCTCCAATCTGCCTGTTTGCTGGATAATTTCAATAAAATATATGCATACACGTGCAACGAGCGTGGCCCGAGAAACTTATATGTTTCTCCTTTGTCTCTAATGGGCCATCTGCAAAACGCGGCGAGGCCTAACACGATATGTACACGACAAAAGATATCCCGAGAAAATATAATTATGTGTACACCTATACGTGAGGGCAAAAGCCCTCCGATGGACCGCCGCGTCGAGATAACATCCCCAATAAATATACCATCGAGGGTTTTAAATTAAATTTCCCTGCGTTCTCTGGTATACGTATGTATATATATATTATGTACATCGAAGATCTTATCCGAGCGCGGTCCAGAATAGGCTGGTACGCTTTGACGGAGCGGATGAATAAATCTAGCGAGCTTTTACCGATCGGTGCATACCTACGTGAATGTATATACATATATGTGTGTGGCCCAAGAAAGGAAGGAGATCGGAGTTGTAATTACGTTGTAACTTTGTTCGCGAGCGCGGGAGTGATGGTTTCTACTCATCACACAAACGGGGTGGCCACGGATAAAAGTTTCAGCGAGGATCTATCTCTGTCCCAATTTCGTTGGTCGACGGGCGCGCAAGCTCATAGATATATCGGGCGTAAAACTTAAATGGCCCTACAACATGACGCATCCCTCCGCGAGTCGTCCCTTTCGGACAAGGTAGGTATATGATATGTATATATATACACGTGTGTAATTTACCACTTGCTCGAGTGGGAGCTCGTTAACCACGCGCCCCCTGCACCTTTTGTCCTCGGTCCTTCCACTTTTGTCGTCAAAGACGGAGAGGAGCCCAAAGGAAAAAGAACATCGCGGCTCGGGGCTTGTACGTGTATAGAAGAAGCCACGAGCCTTTTCACCCTCGAAGAAACTCCACGGCGTACGAGAGGAAGAATACGAAGGAGGACGGCAAACACACGGAGAAGCCTCGGGAGAGAACAGAGAGTGCGAGTAATACGCCCGGGGCCGGTGGGGAGAAAGGGAGTGGGGGAAAACGACAATGTGTCGCACAATAGAGAAACTAGTATATATATATTATATAAGGCACATGTGTAGTATACCCATACGGGGCGTACGCGAAATCGCTTCTCCGTGATTGTGCACTTTGGCGATGAAATTCTTAATGATGACGCTACCCGATGATGGACGCTAAAGTTAGTCACTGTTACCTGCAAGGTGATGGCGAGAGGAGGATTTTTCCATCGGCGCTAATGAACTCGGACGCGGAAGGTCGATAACGTATACAAAGCTTCGACGAAATTTCGATTTCCTGCAACGTATGCCCCGAGCGAAGGAGAGCCAAACGTATAGGACCCTTTTTTTTTATACCTTGTACAGCCGCGAGCCAATTCGATCGAAACGAAGCCCAGAGGCGCGACGCGGAGCGCAAAAACTGTGCTCTTGGCTCGATTTCGCTCCGTGCTGTAAGTATGCGTAACGTTGTGGTGGCATAAAAGGGGAAATCGCTCGCTTTAGATGGAAAAAAAAAAAAAAATAAAATAAAAGAATGTCACCCGATGTCTGCGAGAGAGAAACAACCTCGAGTGTGTCTCTAGAGTCGCGGTGTAGTCAATAAACCTCGCAATGAACGGCAAAAGGCCACTTACGTATTATTACCTATGCGGTATATATATAATTTATGTGGCACGTGCCAGTCGCAGCAGCCGGCCGTCGTGAGCTCGAGTGCATCGGTATATAAACGTACACGTGTACTTATGATGCAGTATATGGACTCAGCTTCGTTAATTGGGCCGAGCTTTGGTCCCCTTTCTCTCTTATCCTTCCTGCACCAACTACCCTTTTACGTTAGCGAGCAAGTGCACACACTTGGATGTATATTGCACGGAAGGATTTACGAGATAGGACCAAAGGAGTGGGGGAGGAGCACCATATACTACATTTACACCCGGTGTGCTCTGGTCCAGAGACGCGAATATTACGCGAGAGAATTTCGCCGGGTCACAATAACATAATATAGGGGCGCAGCGATGCAAATTCACTGTGCGCAACTCGAGTGTATAATATACAAAATAGTATAAGTTTTTTTTATATATATATATATCCCTCCGCTACAATGATGAACGGAGCGCCAGGTGTATGTATCGGTATAGGTGGTTTATAGTTCAAACAATAACCATCGTAGCCAACTCGCGAGCGCCTATAATGATCCTCCCAACTTGGCGGCAAACAACGGGGCTTTCGACTTTCTAACATCCCGGCCGCGCGAATCTTTCGGAAAGTAGAAAGGCGCAGCGTTTGGTTTTCGAGCCGAGGAGGAAAAAAAAAAAAACAAACCAATTCATTTGGGTCCCTCTCTCTTTCAGTGTCGATGGTTGAGAATGTATACTTTGGAAAATCGCAGTTTGACTTGAATCCGCGGTGGTACCATTTCGTATACGCACTTGTTAAACTCATCCCACGAGTTGGGCTCATCGTTGGCCCACACCCCTTGGACCAAAGGTTAACTATAGCGAGCGTGTATCAACTTGAGGTGCTCTCCAGCGGTGGTGGCTGGCAGGGAAGGAAAGTGTGTTCCAGAGATGGGGCATGAAAGTTCCCGATAACCGAGAGGATCCAACTGTTTTAGCATAAAAGGTCCGCAGAGATGCAGCTGGCGCGCGCGTGCCACTGGCCTCGTATATAGGCATGCAGACACGCGACGCGAGGTTCTTTACGAGATTTCAAGTGTACTTATAAGCTTTAATTGGAGAACGCTCGAGCGGGACTCTCAAGTATATAATGTTACGTGTATGCTTGCGCCGCGCGCGCCGATGTCCGTTTGGAGTCTATATAAGTAGCTGTTAAATTAACGAGAATGGCGTTGGTCGGGACATTGAGGAGCCGCCAATGGGGCATTGTTGGGCCGTCACGGCAAAGGCATTTTTGTGCCTGTGTGTACTCGTAATAGGTGAATCAAATTAATTTGGGGGAAAAAAAGTTTTGCTCGTATGTTGGAGTTGTGCTAGTTTCCACAACAAAAAACTATCGATTTCGTGGAGGGAATTTCAAATTTTAAAACTTATATAATTGGACGCAGGGAACGGAGTGAAAACTAGCTCGATCGAGTTCTTTCGGTCTCTTGGGAAGTTTTAGTCCCAATTTTGTTTTGTTTTTTTGTTTTGTTTTTTTTTTTATTGGAAAAAAGAAGGTCTTACACGTTGGCCAACTTTATAGCAGTTGGCGTTACAGACGGAATTATATTTTTAATCGTCAGGTTGACGGGACTCGATCAAAAGCTTCAAACGTCATGCGACAACTTCATCAAAAATTGAAATGGGTCGAAAGTTGAGGAGAGGAGAAAAATAGAATAGGAATTTCGTTGGCCAACCCGCGAGGTATCGCGAGAGGCAGGAGGGGGGGGGGGCACGTATTTTTCCCGTCGTGTACCATCCGTGGCTGGATCGTGACGAAACAGAGCGTAACAATGGTGCGAAGAACCGGTGCTGCTTAACTGCTGGCCTACGCGATTTCCTGCCAACTAGCCGGCGATCTTGACTCTGTTTTTCTAAAGCGAGCGGCGAACGAGCCGTCTCCTCCTCTCCTCGTATAGCGGAAGCGCTTCTTTGCTATATCCCCTCGGCCGATGATGGAGGAGCGCCGAGGGGAGGCAAAGGGAAGATGTTGCAACCTCAGGCATCTCAAAAAGTCTCTCTCGACGAGGCGTAGCGAGGCTCATTTCTCCTATACAAAAACCTTTTTGCGCGCATAGCAGGAGAGCCTCGGGGAAAACGAGTTCGACCCCGTGCAATCCAAGTACTTATTCGTATTTTCTTTGTCTTTTTTGCTCCCCGCAACGAGATTCGCTCGAGTAGTTTCAAATGCGCTCGATGGCCAATATAAATATGACATACCGTTTCAATGCATAATATACAAGGATGAATTATATTTTCCAAATATTTTTTAAATTAAAACGTAAACGTGCGTATGTGTGTATAATACTCACAGTCTCTGGAAGAAATGAAATTGTAAAAAAGGGCGGCGGCGATGCTCTCGTCCGCCGATTCCCAAAATCCATCACAGGCGATGATCAAGGCGTCCTCGGTGCCGTCGAGTTCGATCTTGACGATTTCGGGCTCGTCCGAGACGTAAGGCTTGTGCTTGGCATCTCCTGCAAACGAAAAAAAAAAAAAAAAAAAAAAATGATTGATATTAATTTAGACTCTTCGTTAAGACGAGAACCGACAAACGACAATGTAAAATACCAATTACAATGAAAAAACAAAATAAATAAATAAATTTAAAAAAAACATGACAGGAGAGAATTCACAAGAGGAAGAACTGCTGATGCTTTTTCCGTACGTCTATATATATGTTATACCTGGTTGTACGTGTCTAAAGATTCGAAACGCTAAAGAAGCGTAACGCGTATATGTATATGCTGAGGATGTGCGGGAGAGAGGACGAGGCATATGCAAAAATCGAGCCTCTTCTCCCCCGGACACGGCACATCGACCCACGCGTTGTTTCTCGTTGCATCTCCATCTCTTTTTTTTTTCTTCTTCTTACAGTAACACTTGTAGGTTTGCAGGTATGTAGGGTACCTACTCGCACGGACTCTTGATTTACCGTTACCCGCGAAAGAAGAAGAAGAAAAAAAAAAAAAAACTACACGCCTGTGCACGCAATTGACGCAGGTGCTCTCTCGAATCTTCGTGCGGGCTCGCTTACATAATTAAAATAAAATTAACGAACTAATTAACGGAACGCGTGTCTACACGTAAGGCTTTTCATATATACCTATACGCGCAAGAGAGGGAGAAATAGGTGGAACAAGTGAGTAGGCTCATTTAAATAATGGCGCCAAACCAGCGTGGGCACTTCCGGTTATTATAAGCGTGCACACACACGCAATAATAAGCTGGTAAATGTATTATACATATATACGTATACATGATCAGCATATAATATGGGGCTCTCTGCCTATGCTGGTGCAATTGGAATCTATAACCGAACGATGCGTGCGGCCTGGCGTGAGAGAATGCACCAAGGTACACATAGGTATACATGTATACCTTTACGCGTGTATACATATTTATATTTATATACGTTCAGGTAATCAAGTTCGATATAAATAAGGCTTCTCCCCGGCGGTCATTTTAATCGCGGCGATCGTCTATACGTATATAAAAACACTTTATAGCTGTTACATATGTATGTATATGGAAGCGTCTGTAGGTATACGTACCCCAATGTGTCGCGAATTACGATATCGCTTCGTTTATAGATATACGGTGTAAGGTCGGGGTAGATCTTAAAAGCATCGTATTTAAATAAATACATACCGGTACACGCACAGTATATAACGCGCGTATACCCAACATTGGAGGAAAGGAGGTTGGCCGACTGGGTTTAGCTGGTATTAGGGCGAAAAGAGGCTCGCCGGGTGTATCGATCTTTGGGGTGACTGCCAAGGGAGGGCGTAGTCGCTCGGTACCCGTATATACGTATAATATATATATATATTCTCGAGACGTGATGGGCATTTTTGGCCTTTACAGGCTCGACGCGAGAGTGCTTCGCTAATTGGTTTACCCAATCATCATGGCCTTCTTTTTATATATGTGTACCTATTTTATATACCCTGAAAGCTATGGGCGTATTGATTTGTACTCGGAAGCGATGACGTGGCTTCTCCCCCCCTCACGGGCGGGTGGGGCTCAAATTTGGCACGCGCAGTATTTTTTGGCATTTTTGCACCCATACTTCTGAGACGATGACGATGAACATTGACAGCCACGTGGGTTCACTGCGAAACTCGTTGATCCACCACAATCGGTAGCACAGCGGCTGATTATTCTGCGAGCCACGGAGACGCACCGGTTTATCGTTATTTCGCAAATATATATGTAATGCTTGTACAGCGGGATCACGTATTATTGTGTCAGCAACGAAAGGAGAATGTAAGTATAGGGAGAACGACATGAGGATATATTATATAATATACACGTGCGAGGAAAGAGAGAGAGAGAGAGACGCCGACGCGCCTAGAATTTCCGAGCTCCGCAAAGAGCCGCCCCAAAAATGGTCAGAACCCGAGATATTCTTCCCCTTGCCCGGCCTCCCCCACCGATGGGTGTGATGCGCTTTCTTACCCCCATAAAGGAGGAGTATTACGCGCGTGTTGATTTTATCCTCGACTCTCCCTTTCCCCGGGTACACGAGCAAATCCACTAAAGTGCATCTGTTTTGTACTTCTCAAGTAAATTGTTATTCATTCTTGAGGTATACGACATCATAACTTGCAACTGCTAATAATTGGTACGCGTGGTGAAGCATAAATTCTGAACACTTATTTTCATGAACATTCATTTGATTGAGTCATTTTTTTATCCAATTTTTGATAGCTATACAATGGAAAGGAAGTGATATAAAAAGAACAATTGGATGACCTTGAATGTTACATCGTTGGTAATACAGATAAAAGATCAATTTCGGAGGCCCAAAAAACAATTGATTTGAATGACACAACCAAGGATGAGTTTTTGCGGAATTTTTCGTACAAAAGTAAGTACAAGATACACGATGCCTCGCATTTGGCTATTACATCGGGATGATCCTCGAGTAAGTACACATAAGCTAAAAGCGAGACTTGTATTATACCCATAATATACGAAGATGCTGTCGTATGGAGTAGATGGGCACCCTCACTCAAGGATTCCAGAAAAAGTAGGAAAAAAAACTTTGTTTTACCTGGCTATTTTGTATACAATTGAATTCATAAAAAAGAACGTGTAAGGTAATATACACTTGACATTCTTTTAATGTGCAAATTCTCGAATAATTGTTTAATGACTCTACGCGTTCGCTTTACCATTTTACAGCTCAACATTTTCCCGCACAACCTTGTCCCGTTTTTCGATGGCGAGACGTTACATTAAGATTACAAATCTCACTGGTTTTTTTTTTTTTTTATGTTCGTTACAGTAATTTAAAAAAATATTATTGCGATTTTCACCTCAACGGACAACAGAGTGATTATTTAAAAAAAAGAGCTTTACGTGCATCGGCAAATATAATAAGTCACAAACTAAAACAACACCAGCGTGAAAAAATTACAAAGGACGGGATAACTCGTCTCTTCTTCAAGCAAACAAAAAAGTTGTTCGCAAGGGCTCGTATGCTATGATTTAACGTAATTAAAATAATTACATACTACGCCCGTGATTAATCGTGACGATCGCAAAGCCATTCGGCTTTACCGCACGCAGTGCTCGTTATGTCCTTTGTATACGACACGAAGCTCTCGTACACGGATATATGTATATGCACCTACAAACGTACTGATTGAAATTAATCTGTCGTCGGACGCGTAATTTGTACCCGGGATCGAATTATGGCCGCGTTGATAAGTAACGACGGCCTATTGACGAGTGATGCAATCTGCCGGATTTGTGGTGCGTTTGTACTTACAGTGTCCGATGAAAATACATTTATGTTGACACAATACTGGGTCCGGTATATTAAACAGCACACCCCGTTCGAATAACGTAGGCGAGGGGTATATAAAATAAGATCTTGTATGATACTCGCTGTTTTCGGCCGATTTTCTACCAACACAACCATTCGGTCGAAACTCCTTTTTTTTCTTCTTAGCGATCCAACAATAGATCCGGTAATAACACCAACTCGTGGCATTTTTCAAGTGAAACGCAAAAACCGTATGGTAAACAGAGAACTCCTAGCGGTTTCTAGATATCTCTCAAAAAAAGGAAAAAAACGTTATTTGCCGATTTCACGCGGTTGGCGTGGCGAGCGAGAACATACAAATACACAAACGCGAAACAGCGCGATCGAATCGACTTTTCAGCTTGGAGTGCAAACGAGAGACATGATATGTTTTATCTAGCGTATGGATGAATAGCATTGTTGTGAATCGCAGGTGAAATCGTTAAACGCCGAAACTACCGGCTACCACCAGCAACAGGAGCGAATATTATCGTACCGACGAAATCGGAGAATTTCGCGCTCATAAACGAGCGGATTTTTGCTGTATACAGCAGCTGCGTTATCGGCAACACAAGCACGCGTGTACATAAATATACGGTGCAGAGCAGCGATTCTCGTTAGAGGAGCCAGCGAGGTGTGAAGCTCCAGAAAGATGAAATACCGCAGCCGAAGAGAGACCCTCGCAGCAGTAAAACAATGTACAACATAGAGTTAAAAGAGAATATATCCTACAGAGAGTGCACGTGTTCTGTATGGGAACCTTTTACATGGCAAAACGTCAATCGCTTGTCGTGAGCTTGCGAGCCTTGTTCTGGCGAAGCTCACATTTTTCGATACCCAGGCACTTAGTTTTTTCACCCTTTACATTTTAAAGTATACATGTTGTGGCTCGCGTAACCTTGTACAAATTATTATACAAATCGAGATTCAGTATTTTTGTAAAACTGGGAAAAAAGGCTATCGATGATTAACCCGTGGAGTCCAGAACAACCGGAGGCAAGTCGCCATCTGTTGGCGAACCTATGCACGAGTGGTGGGTGGGCGAGGCAAGACGAGGCGGCAAACTGTCAGTACAGTACAAGTCGCAATACACACTGTACCACCACGCCAAGTGTGGAAACTCTGTGCGGAGAGTCGCAAGGACGCACACCCGTCACACACTACTTCTTCTTCTTCTCTGTCTCCCCCTTGTTTTTGTTGCGGCTTCATTAGACTTCCTCTTTCGAACAAAAGCAAATTAAACGCCGGTTCATATCGATATTTGCCGGTGAGTATATTTTACAATAACGCTTTAATAACGTACTTGAAATAATATTTCTTTGTAGGTGAACGTAAGTCACTTTGGTTTCTTCAAGGGTGTAGTTTTGGAGCAAACACCTGTGGGAAGGTGTGGGTGTATTGTATATGTATTGTAGTTGTGTTATCTTTGGCGATCGGTTCTTTGTTTACTTTTTTGTTCCTCCCCCAACAATATCTTTCATTTTGATCGATGCTACAGTTTGGTGAAAATTTTTCCCACAAAGGTTGTTTGGGCTTATATAGTAAAATTACTTGGGTACTGCAGTGAATTTTTAGAGTAGCAAAACGCGATTTATCAATAAACAATGATGTGAAATTGCAGCACACCCGTTTCCATCACAGAAAATGACGCATGTTTAGATCGTTGTTTGTTGATGATTGAAATTTCACACGTAACTGGTTGGTTTATAATTTTATATTGAGTTGGACTTGAATATTTTCAACTTACCTAACGCTCGCGAAACGCTTAAAATGCCATTAACTCTCCACGTGCCGTAATGAATAACTTGTCCTCCTAAATCAGTTATCCTTTTTTTTTCATCCTGTAAACAATTGAAATGATAATTGTGACAGCTTTACGTCCTGATTACGAAGTAAGTAATACTACATGATGTTTGTTTTCAAGACCGACAGATAGTCGGTAAACATGTTAATTACATTACATTTATTGGGTTTTTTTTTTTTTATTTTTTTTTTTTTTTTTTTTTTTTTACTTGAATCGTTAGAAAACAAAACAAAAAAACTTCATTATTACCGGCTGGACACTAGAGACTCTATAGTAATATGTACTGGATTGTGAACGGAGATCGGCTGTTAATTTGGATCTGCATTTGTTACGATAGTAAATTAAGTAAAATCAAACGGGTTGGATGACATTTCGACATAATTAACAAAATTCAAAGTCATGACTGAAAAGCTCGATTTCATCCGTGAAAATCAAGACTTGCTGAAATACGACACCTTCGAAGATTATATAGAATCGTTCATTACGCCGCGAGATCTTTATCATTTGCGAAGCAAATCCATATCTCGTCAAATCATTGAATTAGGTTATCATACCGAAGGGGTGTTGAATCAAGAAACTTTCAACAAACGCGTAAAAATGATCAAACGTTACACTTATCTCATAGAAAATCCGCTCGAACTGTGCACAGAATTTCTACCTCTGGATGATAATTTATTGAAAGAACTAGCTTTCCGTGAACGAGCTAATCGCATCGGCAGATTTTTCACGATAATATTCATGCAATACACAGGAAAGGTTCAGTCGCCAGTGTCTGCGTTTATTGATTACAGTTACAGATTAAAAGCGGAAGACTGGATGCCTTATTTTATGAACACCAAACGAATAAAGCCCAAAAAGAACGATCTCTCGTTTTTAAATCATAAGAGTGGAAAATTAATTTTGAACGAATCACCCAATTTCAAACCAATTGTCGATAGCAAAAATGGTCTTGCATTTCAAAACGTTCACAATTTAAAGTTTGTACATGTAAGCCCTACTTTAACAGAAAAATCATATCCCTCGCGTACAACGATTCACAGCCCTATATATGGCCCAGTTGTACTTTACGACTACAGTCTTCGAGTAGGATCATGAGGAAGTGAGTTTTTCGAACTTACCGCTCTTTGCGGCTTGTGAGGGTTGGTCAATTCTATACCAGTTCCCTCCCTAATTAGTGCGGCTTGAGAGTCCCCTGCCCAGGCAACATATAAAGTTCTATTATACAATAATGCACACACGGCAGTTGAACCTCCGTTTGAGTCCTGAAATAAAAAGAAAGGTACAAACAAAATGTTATAACGAAAATTCGTTTGCGTAAACGTAATTATGGAAAAAATAGTACTGACGGAATGATTTTCTGTAAATCTAGAGTCTGTAGTCCTAAAAGCGTCGCGTAAGGCATTTTCTGGGTCTGCAGGATAAAACGGACTTTCTACTAAATACTGATGAAGGTGCGATGCGCAATATACCGCAGCCTCTGGTCCGCCATGACCGTCAAATACTGCATAATAATTAACAACAGCTTCATCCTGTAAAACAAAAATTTTTTCTCAGAAATCACGTAAAAGTTACACAATGTACAAGGTGAACAGAAACGGAGCGATACCTTAATACTGAACATAGTGTGTAGATCATGTAAAACTACAGAACGATCTTCCATTTTTCTTCTCTTGTTCTTAATTGCCCAAGAGGAAGTTAATGGTAGCGGAGTGGACGGAGGTGGAGGCAGTAACGCTAATCTACTATTGTCCAAGTAACGCTGGCATATTTCATTCACTTTATTCGTAACAGCTTGCATTAATTTTAATGAGGAAAAATCTGAAACAAAAAATGTTTTTACATACAGTACTCACACATTGTCAAGTTAAATATTGTACCGAAAATATTCAAAACTTACTTTTCTCTTGAGGTTTATAGCCACATTCTTCTGGCTGTTTTTTGAACATTATTTTACACTCTTCTATAACTAACTTTACCAAATAGGCCTGTAAACTGGGAGGACATATCCTGAAACAAAAATAGTATAATTAAAAATTGTACCCCATACTATTTCTAAGCGATATTAATTATTTTTTAGAAACCAAATACACAAGGATTTACTACTCAATTCAAAACAGTAAATATGGCTTCTCTGGTTGGAAATTATCAACATGTTAAAAATGAGAATCTAGATGAGTACTTCAAAGTAATTGGTAAGGTTCAATTTAAGATTACAATTTATCTTTTTTATTGTTATACTGAAGTAAAAATACCACAAAATTTGATAGGAGTGCCATATATTCCTCGAAAAATGATGTCAATGACAAGTCCCAGACTTGAAATTTCTAAAGCTGAAGATGACAAGTGGTCAATCCGTATAATCACTATGATGAGAACAGTGGAATTGACATTCAAAATAGGAGAAGAGTTTGAAGAATCAATGCCTGCAGGAGTTACTTTAAAAGTGGAGTATCAACCATTTACTGGTTATCTATCCAAATGAGCGATAATAATTTCAGGACTTGATGCGTTTTTTGTAGAATGTAGCATCTTTGGAGGAAGATGGAAGTTTGGTGATTAAATCTGAGGGACCAAACAACACTAAAGTAACGAGGAAGTATGACCTCCAAGATGATCAAATAATTTTGGTAATTTAGAGTTTTTTCAAAGGTGTAATAACCTTAAGTACGCACAATGAGTGATAGTAATTTTTTGTTATTGCAGACTATGACTCACGAAGAAAGTGGAATTGCAGCCAAGCGATATTTCCAGAAAATCCCTTAAAAATTACATCACACGTTACCCCTATGATAAACTACATTCTTTAAACGCACAAAATGGATTTCAAATCATTCAGTGATTTTTGAATCCATTACAATTTAATATTATCAAGCTTTGCTAAAAAAAAAAAAAAAATTTACGACAAAATGATTTACAAGTTCGATATTAGAAATTTCTAATTTTTTTATATATTAATATATATTAAATATTTTTTAATACATTTTTTACTATTTGATACCATAATCCGAGCATCAAGAATTATTCGTGTAATAAATGTGATATGCAAATTGATAAATGAAAGATTTGATTTAAAAAATCGTGCTTCTCGATATCGGTAAGGTAGACAACGACCTACCACTGACAATGCAGATTCCTACCGCTGGCGGGAAAATTAAATTTATTTAAAATTTTGATTAACGTAAAGACGGGAGAAAGTAACGGGAAACTCTCATTATTTAGCAATTTTCCATGAAATAAGAAAACTCATATCATATACGAGTAACTATGTGCTACAATTTAACAACGCTGCCTCAACTGCGTACGATACATTCAACGGAATATCGTAAAATCAAAAACTCGACCAGTTGTTGAATAACCACAGATCTGATGATTATTACGTTGAGTAAAGAAACAGTAGCCGCTATAGCGAGTGAGTACCGCGATGTAGGGGAAAAAAACAACTTTCGATTCATCATAATTCAGCAGCAGAGGCATGGTGCGTTGTTACGAGAAATCCACGCGAGCATGAAGCAAGGAAAAATAAATAATAACTCCAACTGGTACAAAATGTGTACGTGTAGGCGCGTATGGGAAATTTTAGAGCGCCTAGGCCATAATGTACACGCGTATAACTGACCACGGAGGAGTGGTCGAAATTAATGAAAAAAAAAAAAAAAAGAAAAACTAGAGAAAAAACGAGCGTATACGCTTTGCTGGGTGTTTTTTCGCTCGCAAATGTGCACACGCAATCTCTTCAAAGAGGAATTGCCGCTCGTGACTGGCTCGGTGCGACTTGCCAGTGTACTCACTTTACGCTATATAGATAAGCCGAGCCAAAAGAGGAAAAATTCGGCATTTTAGAAGCTCGCCAGCCCGTGCCAAACGGTACGAAAAAACAGAGGAGTAGGGTTAAGCGTAAAATTTTCAATTCAGAGAAAATAAACTCGGTTGCGCAACGTTACATCTTTTGTTTCGTCGTTTCGTTCAAAGTGACAATTTTTAAAAATAGAACCAAGCTCTGATGTACAAAATTGACAAGATTAATAGCCACGAAAATCGTAAGAGCAACAAAAAAAAAAAAAAAAATGGTTTGAGAGGCGACAAACATTTACTTAAGTTTCGTCATGTGTGTTGTTTGACTTTCGTCGCACGTTAGGAGTTTGATGGAGTTAATCTATAAAATTCATTCTTAGAATTTCGAATGTGTATATACTCTAGATAAATTTAATGTGCTCCAAAAAATTTGTGGCGCAAATACAAAGACCAATGTATTTTTTATCTGTAAACTATCGTTTTAGTATCCATGCGTTTAAACTTCAACATAAATAATTTTCTCGTTTCTTCTGGTTCAATTTATAATCACCAAATTCATGCGAGTTCACTGAATTCGCAACTTGTAGGATGTACATTTAAACGCACCGATCATGTATACATCTCGTGCAATAAACTGCTAAAATAGTTAATTTTCTTTTCTCATGAAAGTACTTGTATCATTATTGACAAAATTTGGGAGCAAAAAACGAAGGAAGGGGCCAGACAAAACAAAAAGTCTCGGAAAATCTCGTTCAGCCATCTCCATCGTGTCGAATGTGTTGTCAAGGAGAAAATCGGCTGAGCGTTCGAGAGCGCAAAAAACGTGCAACGGGACGACGTCAACATAAAAAAAAGCGCAGCTCTAGTATACACACACAAGGCGCGCAGAAGGAAGCGCTTCTTCGCCACGGCTGATGGCCTACTATATACCGTTTCGCACGCGCACGTTTGCTATGCCCTATGAATAATGCATTCTTCTCTCGTGCTCCCTTTTTCTATTCTATTTTACACGTACAAAATACTTATGCTTCCGAGAGCAACAAAAAATACACCGGCAAGTTTTCGGGTTTTCCTTTCCTTTTTTTCTAAATTTGATTTTCAGTGGGTGCTCTTTTTTTCCCACTCGGCACAACGTGAGAGCGACGCGCGAGTTTCCGCCTCTTACGCCACGCCGGAAGCGTGCATCTATATAATTTTTCGCCCACACGGCAAAAGAGGGAGATAGAAGAAGAACGTGTGCGGTGTAGGTACACCCCGTGGTGGGTGTAGGTGTGTGCTTTGCGATTCGTAGGCGAAAGAGGAGATCTTGGCTTTTGTTTTGGCGAAGCGGAGGAGAGAGAGACACAGAGACCCGTGGTAAGGTTTAATGCACACGCTGGAAGCGTTTGCAGAGCTTTCTCTCTTGAGAGGGAGAGGCGGATATGGAGATAAGATAAGAAGATCTCGCGAAACTACACTATTTTGTACCTTCCGTTCGCAAAGCTTTTCATGTATACTTGTTTAATTTGATTAACCATATTGTTAATTTACCGAAGTATAAATATGAGCGCTTCGCTTAATTTTTTTAGATGATGAGTTCATCCCGAAATTTAAACTCTGGTAGATAGATCACGTGGTATGGAAAATCGATAGGATATGGGTCACAGGTGGTATAAATATATGCTAAAACCACGCTCCCAAAGGTCAATGTATGTGATATTGGAAAAAAGTCAAGTTTGAAACTTTTTTTTTTTTGTCGAAATATTTTTATGATAAAGTCAAAAGTGACTTCATTTTTATATGTAACCAATAGAGGTTTGCTTGATAAAACATATCAAATAAATAAAACCAAGATATCAGGGGGAGTGTCTCGCCTGTCCTTGAGCATTAATCTCAAGTTAAGTGATGAAAATCTGGGTGTGAGGGAGATAATCATTTCAAACAAGAAGTAAAAAAATATTCGATAATTGTTAAGTCACTTTTTCATTGTAGTACCTTTATTTTGATGTTTTGTTCAAAAGCATTTTTTTTCGAGTTGGTGACAAATGTGATCAAACTAATGTCATCCCAAAACATTTGTGTTATTGAAGATAAAACAATAAGTATAATCATTAAGTGACGAAAGAGAGACCTAATTGTACGCTAGTAATAAAAAATATGCAAATAAAATTTGAAAAAATACCTTAAAAAACTGTATAGGTCCAACAAACTGTATCTCTATAGAGTATTATACATAAGAGAATGCTATATTTATGATGTTGGGTAATGAATTAACGGATAAAAAAAAACACTTCTGTAAACTGTTTTTAAAGGAATCAAACTGCTTATAAAAAAAAAAAAATCATAATAAAATTGTCTGTGAAAACTTTAAAAAGCACGGAAGCAAAAATAAAAGTTGTCTTTGAATACGTTATTAATTTATAGCGAAAAATTTGACGTTTCAATGGTTTGTTGACCTATAGGTAAGTATGTATATCTAGACGTGTTCTAGCTATGACTAACTGAAGCGGTTTTGCTAAAAAATTTTCGTCAGGATGCTGTTCCTGTTGCGAGTGAAAGAGAGAGAGAAGCAAGATAATATATTATGTTCTCTCTCTTGTACTCACACGGGCTTTTGGCGAGTCTGGCAAGTTAAAAACTTCATGTTACTGTACCCTAAGAAAAAAAAAAGAAAAACTAAAGTGAACAGTTATAAAATTTGTTCATTTTTAGACGTTCAGCGTACATTTACCTACACTTAACCTCCAAAACACCAAAACAAAACAAATCCCTTTTCAGAGTCCTTTTTTTTAGTTAACGTGGGATGTAGACAAACATATGATACACTACACACATAAATCGTATCAAGTATGTATCAAGTATGTTCACGATGAAAACAACTTCCCGCCAAAATGTCAAAACAGCAAGGAGCTCTCGAGTAAATGAAAGAGTAGGCCTAAAAGTTCTAAAGCAAGGGCCATCATGTTGGTTGTGAATGAAATGAAAAAAAAAAAAAAAAAAAAAAAAAAAAAAAAAAAAAAAAAAAAAAAAANAAAAAAAAAAAAAAAAAAAAAAAAAAAAAAAAAAAAAAAAAAAAAAAGAAAAAGAAAAGGAAAAAAAAAGACTAAAAACAAACTACAAAATAGGGTGAGAAAAAGAGCGTGTACATAACACATGAGAGCTCACCTCTGATTCAAGTGCTGGAGGGTTATATTGGCGATCTCGCCAACGACCTCGCACTCCAAGACTTTCTTGTGGTTCATGCTGACGGGCAGTTGGTCGTCGGGTCTGCAGACGTTGGCCACAAAGTGCTCCAAAAAGAACCGGTACGCGCCCAGGTAGTCACCGTCGTACGAGAAATCCATTGCCGCCATGTCCATCATGTTGATGCTGATGATGATGTACCTTCACTTCCTCCGTCTATCTTGTGCTCTCCGACGAGCAAGTGCAATTAATCAATCAACCACCGGCAGCACAATTAATCACTCAACAATTCTATACACTTTTGGCACTCAAGGGGAACTGATATACATATATTGTGCGAACGAGTCAACGCGAGAAAGGAAGAGCACTGGTAGACTGCAACGCACTAGTCACTATACTGTTGCAAAATTTGCTATTGCGCTTCCATGCATGTGTACATATATATAGTACGACTTTAAGGCTCTTGCCACAAAAGTACCGATGCTTGCTTGCGTTCGCGTACGTTCGCGCGTACACATCTCTCAGTTTTAGTTACTTTTTGTGCCTCTCCTCTGAAAGAACGAAAAAGTAACCAGAGAGACGTCGAACGTTCAAAAAATATAAAACTCTGTTATTGACGTTCTACCTGTTTATTAGTCATTTTTCTCAATATTTTAAAATTTGCTTCAACTCTAAATTTACTCTTGCACTTGTTGATGTCGCCACAAAAAAAATATGCGAGCAAACACTTATAACTGTGCACCTTTGTGCCCTTTGAGAGCTGAAAATATGAACATAATAAGTAAGTATACGTACAAAAAAAAACGTTAATTTACAGTCTAGAGTTACACTATTAATATATTTTGTTTTAGTTTTTCTATGCAACCCTACAATAATGAAAAAACAAGTTTTTGTTCATTTTATCGGGCGCGTCAATGGATGAAAATAATAAAATTATTATAGTAAGTGCGCACACACCACGAACTCCAGGCACGACTGTTTTCCAGCTCGTTCATTAATCGGAATGTAATGTATTTCGCTGTATGTCTATGTTCTATATTCTCCCTCTACTCCTCTTGATCAATGTAACAATGTTTTATGTACATATGTAATATGCCGTGTGTCAAGACTGTCAAGCTAACAAGAAGCGCAGTTTAAAAGTCTGTTTTGGAGATTTTTATAACGTTGGGTGAGCTTATTTTATGACTCATATTTTTTCATGTAATATTTTGTCCCCACGCGTAAAGCCACGTTTATAATAACATCATGGGTGTTCGCTGTGACGTATCATAATTAATTATAAAAAAAAGTAATTCCTTCGATACAACTTTTTATAGTTAACATTACTGATGCGAGAATAAAAGAAAGTAAAAAAAAAAAAAAAAAAAGTGTATCTTGTTACGTCATTCGACAAAAGATTGGTTTCGCTGCTTTACGTGTCATCGACGCAGTCATCCTCCGCTCTCCTACGTACACCTAATTTAATTCGATTCGCTTCGTCCATAGCTCACTTACCGATTTTCATTTAAAATGTTTAATCGTTGCATACATGTTCTCATCAACATTGCGTATCACAAGTAGATGTGCGAGGATTCGATGATAAGTATTAAAAAAGGAAAAAAAAATCTTTTTTTAAGTACTGTAGGGTCAATTGTGAGTCATGCATGCATCATAGAAAATTACGTACTATAGAGAATGAAAAAGACGAGACAAAATATGTATGCAGACGAGGAGCTCGGAGGCAGCGACTCTGGACTGTGTATATAATTATGGGTTTCGTGCACGGAATGTGTACATCACAACGCAAGTGCCATGTATGCATACAACGATCTTTCGCGCAGATGAAACGGACGGACTTGCATATGACAAGCTGTCTTTTTTTTTTTTTTTTTTTTTTTTCTTCAAAATAACGAGGAGAGCACGATGCTTTTTTTTTTTAAATTCTACCCGAAAGCAAATCAATGTCGCTTTACTTTTTGAGAGTCCTCTTTTTTGCTCGATGCCATCGGTAATGGTAGTACGTCGAGGTGATGTAAGTACCAATAATATACGTGTACATGCATACCATTTAGCATCGGTGTGAGAATCAGAGTAGCCGTATGTCAACGTGGTTTTACCTATGTATCTATAGGATACATTTTAGCGCTTTATCTGCATACGTGCACCAATTACTATACGACGTTGATGTTGAATTTATCATATGTGCGATCCTAAAACGTAAAAAAAAATTAATTTTTTTCATTCGTCATATCCATTGGTGAGTTACAATTATAAGTAAGTGGCTCAACTAACCGCATGAATCACTGGATGCACATTTCACGAGCTTTCGTGTTTTCCTAAGAAAAAAATGTTCTTACAAGTTACCTTTTATACTTTTTTTTTTTTTTTTTTTTTAATAATGCATGACTCTCACAAACTATGTATATTTAGATCTTTTCTTTTGTAGTATATGTTAGGCACAGCTGATACGAGATGCATATGTAACACATGTCACGTATATATTATTGTACAGCTCGTGCAACTCGAGAGAACGTAATTGTTGAAGGAAACAGATGCACGCGTACGGCAATTGGTTCAACGAGGCCAATGACACAATGTGAAAATTCCAATTCGCGGACTTTTCATCATCCGATCGGACGGTACCAATTGTCAAACTGTAAAAGTAAAGAGAAGGAAACGTGCGGGGACTTTTAAAAGAATTCCCGTAAAAGTAGGCTTCCTCCTTTTCGAAGAGAATTCATGGTGGACGGTACAAATAAAAAAAAAAAAAAAAAAGTGTGCCGCAAGCGTATTCGAAAAATATACGCCATCCGTGCAGAGATTCCAGAGAAGTTCTATACACGTGCGCGTTTGGTAAAGCACCAAAACACCACGAGCTTGAGTTACTTACCGTGAGCTTATGCAAAACAACCTTTTTTTACTTTTTTTTTCTTTTTTTTTTCGGCAAATTTTACAACTCGGGGGGTAAAAAATACAATACACAATCATATACGCTCAAACCTGTTGTTACGTATACATTTTATGTGCGCGTGCACATATTTATTTGGATAATGAATGGGCGCGGAAGGGTAAACGCTTGCGAGTTTACTGCTACGGCTAAATACGTGGCTCCGGTACCCTTCTTTTTTACGATACGCAATTATTGGGTCCAACATAAGTTATTGAAGCTCTCGTGAATACGCTCACACATACATACATGAGTCTTCAAACTTTGATCACTAGAACCCGCAGGTAAATTATGTATATGCACGAATCGCAAGGTATACCAAGCTATTCTCCTTGAAGTCTTTGGTCCGCTGCTTGGGGTTCGACTCGAGTGGAAAGAAAATACCGAGAAAGAAGCCGTTAAGAAAAAGTGCGAGCACGTGACCTTCTGACCTCGGATATTGGCATCTCATTACCTTTCGTTGTATCCGATCGATCATCACACTGTGTCCGGGCGTTCTCTTTCTCTTGCTCTTCAGGGTCAACAAACTCGCAATAAGACGACGGCAGATTCGGTATACTCTCTTCTGGCGGGAAAAAGCAGACTCTCTCGTCACATACCATCATATTATATCTGATACCAGCGTTTGTCGATAGAACCGCCCTTGACATTGTATAGAGTGTCGTTTTTCTGAAAGTAATAATCAAAAATAATAAAATTGGATCAATTGTGCAAGTGAGATCTAGACGAAGTAATGGATAATGTTGTTGGAATATGTTTCATGGTTACTGTACAGATATATAATCTATTTTTTTTTTTTTTTTTCATGTAAAATGTGATGATCGTTTTTGTAACAGTTTTGTGTGCGTCCGTTGGAAAAAGAATATCTTGAAAACCACTAGAAGGTGCCAGTTTTACAACCTGCAATATTTCGTTACCATCCACAATAGCTCTATTTACCGAGGTATTTCCTCAAAAACTGTTTATCACTAATATATTGTTCATTAAATATATGTACTTAAAAGGTGTTTGCACCTCAGCTCCTAAAAACTACATGTGCTGGTCTTTCCCAAACTCGTGGTTGAATTTTGTTCAAATTCAAATTTCAATCCATTCTCCCGCCATTGGGTTTGTTCGCGTCGTCTCCCAGATTCCCCTAGAGGCGCTGTCCCTAGATATCCCTACATAACCCTATACCTTTTTTTGGCACGAGCACAAAATTGAAAACTGAAACCTGTTCAACCGACCATTTTTTATTAGGTAAGTACAAGTATAGGTATCGAGGACAGTTGGACAGTATTACATTTGGAGAAAGGAAAGGGCAGAAAGAAAAAGGAAAAAGTCTTGCCCCTCCAAAAAAAAAAGTAACTCAACGCGACAGCCGCGAGGTCAACGCGAAAAAAGTGAGAGGCATCCGAGCAGTGTTTTTTTAGCGCAAAGTGAAAAATTTGAAATGTATTGAGTGTATAGGCGAGCAAAGAGAAAAGAGAGAGGGATGATAATGAATAAGAAGAAGGCATGAGTTTATAAGCATCCACGGGATGAGTCATTCCTGAACACGTTCCTCTCGTGTGCCGAGTGCCGACAGTGCCGCAGTGGTGGTTGTTATAGTTGTTACTTGTTACTTGGTTTTGTTATACGTTTCGTTTATGTGTATGTGTCACATGCACTATAAGGTGCGGGGGAGAGATACTCGAGCCGTCGTGTCGTGCTGCCTGATGCGGAGCGCAGAGAGCGGCCGCTGCAGTCGTGCTCACGAAGTCGACGCGGCTTTAAGCAGTCGGCGCCTCCAAGGCTCTTGACTTAACCTTCTTCTTTTGTGATTATCATTCTTTTTTTTTTCACTGGAAACTGCTATCTGTTATCTCCCGAGAGTCTCGAGGTAAAAACGAAGGTGACAGCTGCTGCTCTCCTATACAGTGGAAGTGTAAGAAGAAGGTACCTACTGCTCTTCGACAAATCTGGTTATTTATTGTTACTTACCGCGTGTGTACCTATATACATATTTGTGTCTGTTTACAAATTTAAGTATACTCCTGTGTTGTCTTCGTTGTAATTGAAACTTTAAAGTTCCTCCCCGGTCGTCTGCTGTATTCTATACGTAGGCACACACACACACATATGCACACATATATATATATACATATTCTGTGCGTGTGTATGTTATCGCGCGCTTGGAATTTCCCGCGATAAAAAAGGAAAATAAAGTTCGACGAATTGTTAATAGTTTAAAAGCAGAGAAATAACTGTACAACGCAACTAATTAGCCAGCAGGTTGTCCAACTGCCAGAGGTGAACGTAGCGGCACCAGGATGGCGGCGCACGAAGACGTCGGCATCGGGGACTTTGTCCTCCTCAACGAGATAACCCTCCCGAAGGTGGTTGAGAATCTACGGATCAGGTAAATATCGTCCTGGGAATGCAATTTATTGTTCTATTCTTTGTGTTCGTTGTACCCAGGTGCACTAATTGTCGAGTGGAGCACATTGTGGGAAAGTTAAAGAACTGGAGGCTAAAAGGGATGTGCTTCTATTGTTTGTTTTTATCTCGATAATTGACAGGTGGAAGCGCGCGTTGTGTGGGGATGAAAAGGGCAACAAAACAATTCGCGTGCACATACAGGTGTATATACATATATGTATATGGTATACCTGTGGGTGGGTAACGCCGACGCTCCGACGCATTTAACCAAAACATGCACGTGCGGCTTTTTTGTTGTGTGTATAGTTGCTACTACCTGTATATATTTTATTTATCCGATCTTGTTGGGATGGGACGCCAGTCGTGTCATATTTATGAAAGATGAACACTGTCATTCAGTTACATGAATAGGTTGCGATTTTTAATGTTATACTTGAAACAATCTCCGACAAAATCTTTAAAATAATTACATGATCGAAATTTCTCAAATTTCCAATCTTTCTTCTAATTACTGAGCAGCATACCCTTGAAACTTTCACAAGTTTTGATATGACTATCGCTTACACCACGCACATTTTCATTAAGCACAATTTTATATTTGTTTTATTGATTTTTGGGGCAGGGCGTGGTCTTGTACAGTTAATAATCATGTATATTACGCGTGTCTCGAAAATAGAAGCGCGTCATGTTCTTTTATCTTCAATGCAAGTATCGATAATCGCGAAATATTGTACGGCTTACGGAGGGATCCACATTATCAGCTATACTTGAAACCGAGTAAACGAATTGCTTCCGACCAAGAAAAAACAGAAATTGGCATTCGTGGCTTCTTATTTCGACAAGACCTTACATTATTGATAACCTGTAACCACTTATCTCTTATAAATTGGTGTTCTCACAATCATAATTATCATACATTTACTTCTTGTTAAAAAAAAAGAAGAATGAATACCGATTTATAATCGTTCACATTAAGTATCATAAATTCCGATAAATTCTTCCAAGTATAAAGTAAACTGATTATACTCAGTGACCTGTTTGAAAGTGTTATATTTATAATAATGAAAATATTGAGTTAATCATCACTAAAAACAATCGCGTTAGCTAATCGGGAATAAGAAAATAAAGCGCGTGAGACGAGTTTCATACGAAAAAATAGAGGAAATAAAAATAAAAAAAAATCAATGATTCATCTCGTAAAACCGTGCCTAATCAAAGAAAGAAGTCAAATATATAGTATTATGAATCAGAGAATCGTAGCTGCTCTAACGCTATTGATTTAAGGAGGTGGATTTCAATGTGCTTTTTTACACTAGAGTTCTCAGACCTCCGGTAAAGCCCAATGAGTTAATTGGCAGAAAATTGATTTGCGATCCCTACACTTCCCTGATTTTATTTTTCTTCCCAAGCGAATTGCACGCAATTGGTTTCGCTGTTTCATTGCTGTGATCGAAGGCGTTTTTTTGTTTTGCGGTCGTTTCACGTTTGTTGTGCTTGAGTACAATGTTTTGTAAACGGAAATCATTCTATTAGATGTATGTAAATTAATTAGGTATGGACAACAGTTACTTTATCGAAGATTCGATCAATGATAGCAAGAAAATTCACTTGTCTATCGTGAAAAAAAAAAAAAAAAAAAAGAAAAAAAACACGAGAAACCTGGCAAGCGCTCAAATTACTCACTCGAGTCTAATAAATCTCGTTCGCCGAGAGAACAACAATCATACTTTGCTGTATAACTATACGCGCAAGCTCGCTTTCTCTCTAATCTCTTGTGTTTTCATATGTAGCTATAACCACCACCGCCACCACGCCTTATATGTTGATGTTAAAATTTGTTCCCATCTAAACTTGATTATCGCGTTTCCTATTACATACATGTATACATACCAATTGAATGTGCATGCACTTATAGCGCTACAATCAACATCAGGTCGCAAACAATAATGTTTAACAGTCAATATAACACAACAGCTCAGATGGTGAATGCCATTCATTCAAGATTTTAAGGCTGTTCTAAATCCTTTTTTTTCTGTTCGGCAAACTAAGAAAACAAACAAACATTCACAGACGGTGCACACTTACCGATGTTACGAAAAAAAGAAAAAAAAAATTCGCAATGTATTATTATGTTGTAGCTATACAGGTGCTTGTAACCCAATCGATGTGTCTATATCGTGGCAAATAGTAGCAGCAGCTGTTCTCCATCAAACTTTTTTGACCTTCCTCTATTTTTGGAAAGACGTCACCGCCCCACTCCTCGTTCGATATGCCATTCGTGTACACTATAATATATTGTGTGCATAAACATTATTTCAAGTGCATGACCCATACATATGTATATCTGTAAGGTATTCCAAGCGTGCACGCTTCTGTCGTCACTATCATTATCGTTTTTTTTCCCCCTTTCCCTCGCGAGGCAAAATTCTCGTGAGTCAGTCCCTGTAACATGATGTCACTTCTTACCCATGCAGCACACGCATCATCGCATGTGTACATACATCAAGTGTGACAATGCCAATGGTCGACCTACAAAGGCTGCTGTGTTTTCTGTTGTAATAAGTATTCTTTTGTTAAATGCCAAGCTGGTGCTAGATGTACCGATTGATTGTAAAAATATTGCATCGAGAGTTCACGTGTAAGTATATTGTAGGCACAGACAATAATTGGTGTTAACAGAGCGAGGTACTGCAGTTACGCTCCAGTGATGACGTCGATAATCATAATAATGGAGTTTAATGAGCTGGAAAATTGATACGCAGGTGTATTGAATATCATAGTATTTTACCCTCCCCCACCCCCCTCTCGTTCCCAATGATATTTGATCGTTGAACTTGAAAGTTTTCATTCGATTGCTCGTGTGTCGTCGTGTGTAAGCTACACATATGTTGTAAAGAATAAAAAATAACACATTAGTTTAATTTTGTCACATCAATGGGTGTTAAATTACGATGAAAAATCTCATGTATTTCATAGCGATTGTAACTCGAAAGCGGTTTTCATATCATGTGTTCTCTCATCTAAATAACAATGACAAACAGCTGATGTCATCGACTTACTATTTTCTATTAATGTAACCATGATTCAAGTCATTTCTAAATCTGTTGCCTGATCGTTTTTCAAAAGCATTAAAATCACACACCAAACTTTAACTATGTCACTTTTTATTTATTTTTTTTTTAATTTTATTTATACATGATTTATATGTATAAATATACGATTGTTGAAGAAAATTACCAATTGTTAGATAATTAAAGATTAGATAGTAGTAATAAAACGATAAGGCCTTTTTTTTTGTTGTTTATCGATCGACGGGCAATTTTAAAAATTATAAAAATAAGAAGAAATCTATTGACGTCAAAAGATTAGCAAGATACATCTTACCTGTGATTTCAAATAACAATAAAAAAAAAAAAAAACTTGAAAGATCTTGGAGTTGCGGAAAAAAAGCATTTGATTTTTTTTCCTCGTAATTTTTAATGATGAATATTAAGTTATACAAATCTTTTGAAATATCCAAATATACAGAGCAAAGAAAATTTTCAAACTGAAGCAAAGCCATTGCACGTGGATTGTCAACGCATACCGACGTTATATCATCAATGTCATGTACAATATACACCGAGAGTTCAATTATTAACGATTGCCACGTTAAACTCCACTTTTAATCTTACTAAAATTCGTACAGTTTGATAACGAAAAATTGTGCGCTTCCCAATAATTTTACATTTCTCTATTTGAATTAAATCAATTGCACCAACTTTTACACACACACACACACATATATATATATACCCACACAGCGTGATGTACATATTACGCGTAGACACATTGTCCCTGTTGCTCCAGTATCGCATGAATAATGCATAAAGCTCCTCGGTGCCGTACCCTTGCATTTAGCTCAATTTGCCGGCCAAACAGCGCTTCAGTGGGTTATACACATATACTTTTATACGTCAAGAAATTCTCGACAAAATGTTACAGTAGTACTTAATGCGATGTCGTAAGACGGTTCTTTCTATAGTAATGCTGCTGTGTTGTCATTGCGCGCGGTAAAGCTTATCGGTGCTGTTGATTTTCACTCCAAATAACACGCGCACCTAATTTACTTCACCTTTTCTGTTTTTGCTCCATCATCCTTTACTCTTCGTTCTTCATATAATCTCGAGGCGCGTATGTACGGGAAAAACATTAAAGCCTAAAAATAAAAAAAAAAAATGAACGGAGATTAGTACTTTTTTTTGCCTGTTATTACGAGGAATGTGACTCTTTGGTGTTCTTTGATGTGTTTTGTTGTTTTATCTCCAAACGTCATCTTTTCGCTTTTTAAAAAGCGGAGAAAGGAAGAGAAAAACAGAGTAAGCAGGTACACAAGTACCGCAGCAGCAAACGGTTCGCGCGGCCATTGTAAATGTGTATACCCCCACTAAAGTACACGGAAAAAAAAAAAAAAAAAAAAACATAATGGGGAAAAAAAAGTAACGCGCACAAAAGGCGCGACAAACCATGGAGCTTTTTCCCTTCCGCTAGTCTGTACGGACGTTTACGTACTATATGTACGTCGTGTGACGCTGCGAGCAATTTATATAAAAGAGCCTGCATTACAGGCGTACTTATAATACGTTATGTACTCCCGTTTGTGTGTAATTGTTGGAGAGTGCACTTTAAGGGGACATACGACATGGCACATCATACGCCATACAACAAAAATACCGATAAATAATCGTAATGTCTGTTTAACATAAAACACATAGTATTTATGCACTGCAGTAAAATTTAGTTGAGATTACGATCCAAGCACAACCCGTAGGAGTGTTACTTTTCACAAGTAAAGTGCAGTTGATTCTTGTGTAACACGTACCCATTAGAGATTATGTTGCGTCCTGTAAAGTCGTCTTTTCATATGGATTCTATAATTAACGTTGGGTAATGCTCACTGCAAGTGGAGAAAGTTGTTTTTTTTTTTTTCTTTTTTTTTTTTTCAACTGTTGTGACTTACGTTAAAAAAAACTGATAAATTACAAATACACACAAAGAACCGATTTAACTTGAAACCATTTCTACGCGTTACAAGCGTCAGCTGCAGATGTATATAGAGTATAGATATCAGATACCTCATAATTATACTTATAGCTCAAATGTTTAAATAAACGAGCTGACCCGATCGGCTCTGCACTATATGCACGCTATGACTTTTATACTGTACGTATAAGATCGGTATTCGGACTATATACTCGAAATGAGGGATTCCGGTCACGGCGCGAGGCTTCAACAGTCGCGATGATATATGCGGTGTAGCGTCATCATAATACGGCTCGAGTGCCATTTGCGACACTTGCGACAGCCACCCATAGGCCATTGACTCATGCCTTTATTTATGAGTAAGTAGGTATATACATCGCAAATGCACTATAAGACTACAATATCCTCGGAATGCCGATCGTCAGCAGGCGCGTCTTTTTTGTTTTTATGTGTTTATCACAAATCGTGTAAACATGCCTTATTGTTTTTTTTTTTTTTGTTTTTTTTTTGCCGATTTTTCATCGGTGCGCTTATTTACTTTCATTCGTACACCTAAACGAGCCTGCATTGCGATTTTTTGTTCATACCTGCAGGTATATGTACACAATGTACCCATTGCGGGCAACTTTCGCCTTTTACTCGCAATATGTTATATATATATATATATACCTACTACTTACTTAATGTATACATGTATATATGTGTTATGTATGCACACATCGAAACATATATTTATACGCAGTGCGGTGAACTCCGATGTACTTACAGTTGATGCGCGCTTTTGCTGCCTTTTGTAATGTATACCCGCACGCGTTTTCTCTCTCCTGCTTATGCGCGATCGGCGAAACATATATTATCTAGAATACACTTAACTTGAAGAGAGAACGGCTCATGCGTGATGTTGTATGTATGACCAAAAGGAGAGATGGATTCCGAGATGATTAGCGAGAATCGCGGGGGCGTTGATTTTTCGCGCGCCTCGTTTTACGTGTATACTTACTTCAAGTGCCGGTCAAGACCATATTGTTATACGGTATGGTGTGTATTTAAGTAGTACGTGCGTTTAACAAACGGTCGGACGCAGATGCTCGCTTTACAGTTGTTACCGATCACATAATTATGTGGTGGGGTTGTAAGGTTTGCTGCACTTTTTGCGGAAAAATCGTTAAAAAAACGAGTTGCCTTTTGGTCTATGTGTTTCTCGTCTATGGATGATGAACGCGATAATAACATATAATGGGTTGGAAGGGGCTGTGCTTTTTTTTGTCCCAGTAAAATCAGTACATAATGGGTTGGGTGATTACGACTTTTGACATCGTTAGACATTTTTTGATCCGTTTTTTTTTTTTTTTTTTTTTTTTTTTATGGATTATCCAATAAGCGTTCCAACATTATTAAAGTTAAGGAATTTAAAACTCAATTAATAGCTTCGGGTCAAGTTTTATTTTATATATTGTATCGCATCAAAGTGTAACGCGCACTACTTTATCTGATGTGTACATAATGTTAAAATAATACATTCCGGAAAACGAAAAATAATTTTGATACCTAATAAAAAATAATAAACGTTGTACTTTTTTTTTCTTTTTCTTCAACAATTACAAATGCACGTACTGGCATTATACACAAGACTACATTTTTTGTACACGTATAAGTGTAAAGATAAGCCGATTGTGAAAACTCGTGACATACACACACAAGAGTCGCACTGTTTTTTCGTGTGAAGATTGTATTATCGCCATGTCGCTATGAAGCAATTCACAAATCGATGATGATGAAAAAAAAAATTTTTTTTTGCCGATTCCGATAAACTGGCTTATCCAGGGTAGACATCTATAGACCCTTGCTGCACGGGTATGCGCCGATCGTGATAAGACCGTCGTGTAATCTGATCAAACGATGTATTGTGTGAAATTTCGTTAACGATGCTTTTCTTTTTCTTTTTTTTTTTTTTTCCTTCTCCTTTCAGATTCAATGGAGGCAAAATATACTCCTACATCGGTGAAGTATGCGTCAGCGTCAATCCGTACAGAAGTACAAACATTTACAGTCCGGAGTATGTGGAAAAGTACAAAGGTATAAGATACCTGGCGAGTTTTTAATTTTTCTTTTTTCATTTGTTTTTCTTCCTCTTGAATGCACGTGAATATTATTTTAATTGGATTACCATGCAAATAATAATTCACACAAAGGCGAGGGTATAAAATTGTCATTTGTTCCATCGCAGACAGAGAACTGTTCGAGAACCCGCCGCACATATTCGCGATCGCGGACGCGGTCCACAAGGAGATGAAGCAGCAGGGCCGGGACACGTGCATCGTGATTAGCGGCGAGTCGGGCTCCGGCAAGACCGAGGCCAGTAAAATCATCATGAAGTACATCGCCGCGGTCACGAACCTCGACGGCCAACAGGAGATCGAAAGGTGTGCCACGCAATCCATGATGTTTATTACTTTTTTTTTTTTCTTTTTCTTCTTCTTCTTGTCGTAAAAGTAATGGGAAAACAAACAAAATGAAAAAATTATTTTTTGTCCATCGTCGCTCAACCAAGAACGTTGGCTCACGCGCTTTTATCAGAGCTCGATGGTTACATTCAATGCGCGATAACGAGTTTGCTCGCTCGAGTGTTTTGTCGCAGGTAGAATAGAACTCGGGGGGGATACAAGGCTTTTTTTCCAACGATAATTTTTTCGTTTTGTACTTACCTGCTGTGCAGTACATTTGAGAAAAATAGAGGATGACGTATGGGTTGTACAAATGAGATCGATGTTTCAGGGTGAAAAATATTCTGATCCAGTCGAATTCGATTCTGGAATCGTTTGGGAACGCCAAGACGAACAGGAACGACAATTCATCGCGGTTCGGCAAGTACATGGACATTAATTTTGACTTCAAAGGCGACCCCATCGGTGGACATGTTACGAATTATCTCCTGGAAAAGTCTAGGGTCGTTTACCAACAGGAAGGCGAGAGGAATTTCCACAGTTTTTATCACGTAAGATTTAACACAAAAATTTGGGTTGATTTCTAAAAATGTAGAAATGACAATTGAACTCGCACTTTTTCTTCCAGTTGATCCACGGTTGCAACGAAACTGACTTGAGGTCGATGCGCTTGGTTCGGGATCCCTCGCAATACAACTACATCAAAAAGGGTGTGGACAAAAATTTAACGAATTCCGACGATAAGAGCAATTACAAAGATGTTGTCAGGGCCATGTCGACGCTTGGATTCACGCAAATAGAAACGACGACCATATGGAACGTTGTTGCCAGTGTGCTGCATTTGGTAAATAATTCATCCATCATATGTGACAGCTCGGAAAGTTGTATGCGGCAAAAGAGCGTTTGGTTATAAAAAAACACATGAATTTCAGGGTAACGTCACATTCTCCCTTGACGAAGACAAAGTCGTAATCGCAAATGACAAGGCGCTAAAAGACGCCGCTCACTTATTATCCGTGAGCCCGGCCGAGCTGAGCGCCGCTCTAACTCAAAGGACCATCGCTGCCGGCGGCGATGTCGTGCAACACACGCATACTTTGGTAGAAGCGGAGTATAGCAGAGATGCCTTGGCCAAGGTATTTACAGCTTCTTGCCCTTTGTCGACGCTGGCAAATTGCTCGGAGGAAAAAAAAAATGATCACACATTTTTAACCGTTTCAGGCTGCGTACGACAAACTGTTCACTTGGATAGTACAACGCATAAATAGTACAATTAACGTTACTAATAAGTCTTACAAAAGGTACAGGACGCTAATTGGCGTCCTAGATATTTATGGTTTCGAAATTTTCGATAGTAACAGCTTCGAGCAGTTTTGCATTAATTATTGCAACGAAAAGTTACAGCAGCTTTTTATAGGTAACTGATGATTCAATATGCTGTAAGAAATCATCTGCCATCGAATTAATTTATTAAATTGTCTTTACGTAGAATTGGTGTTGAAACAAGAGCAAGAAGAGTACAAAAATGAAGGTATAGCCTGGGAGCACATCGAGTACTTTAATAATCAAATAATTTGCAACCTTGTTGAGCAAAATCACAAGGGAATATTGTCTATTATGGACGAGGCCTGTCTCAATGTTGGCAAAGTGACGGACGAAGTGAGTACTGAAAATTTGCGTGATTTTCATAACAAATGTTTTGAATAATATTGACTCTCTGTTCCATTCAGATGCTACTTGAGGCTATGGATAAAAAGTTGGTTGGTCACCAGCATTACACGTCTCGTCAACTGAAGCCTACGCATAAAGACCTGGCGCACAAAACTCAATTCAAAATATTTCACTATGCCGGTGACGTAGTTTACAATATAAATGGTTTCTTAGATAAGAACAAAGATACACTGTTCCAAGATTTTAAGCGTTTGTTGTTCAAAAGTGATAATTCCGTAATTAAAGGTATGTGGCCTGAAGGTGCTCAGGATATCACAAAGGTACGGTATTTATGAGTTTTTTTCTTTTTAACTAAAAAATTATATTTTTCTATTCACATTGTTTGAAAAAAAAATTGAATTTTTCAGACAACGAAACGTCCTCTTACGGCTGGAATACTCTTTCGTAACTCGATGTTTGCGCTTATAGAAAAATTGACTAATAAAGAACCGTTTTATGTGCGGTGTATCAAGCCTAATGAAGTCAAGTCTCCAGTTGTTTTCGACGAAGAAAGAGTAACGCACCAAGTTCGTTACTTGGGGCTTGTGGAAAATATATTGGTTAGACGAGCTGGTTTTGCATACAGACAACGTTACGACAAATTTTTGAAACGGTAAGCATCACGACATTTATCTTTTCTATTTTTGCTGGTCAATGTATCATTCAATTATTAAATTCTGTAGGTACAAAATGATTTCCGAGTACACCTGGCCCAATTATAGAGGAGGAAGCGATCAAGATGGCGTTAAAATGATGATGGATGAAAAAGGTTTCTCCAATGATGTACAGTATGGACACACGAAAATTTTCATCCGCTCTCCAGGTACTCTCTTCGCTCTGGAGAAGGTAATTATCAAGAATTTATTTATAAACAACCAGAAAACCACCATTAATAACGATAAATTACTTGAGCCTTAGGTGTAATATCGACAAAAATTATTGGGTAAATTTAAATATCGCATGTCCATATAAAGTATCCCCCTTAATAACTGTATTCACACCTTTAATTGCATCTACTTTATCGCTGACTGAAATCCACATAAACGAATGTATGAATAAAAAAGTACTGTACTGTCTTGATAAGTATTTTAAAACTGACGTTGTATATCATTTGAGTGTAATAACTACAAAATTCCAGATATTTTTTTGCATGACGAGATTTTGTTTTTCTAATATGACATCATGCATTTCAGTGTTTATAAATTTTAAAAATCAGTCTTTCTGTAAATGAATGAAAGGCATGCTGAGCATCTCGCATTTAACCAAAATTTATTGTATCCATGAAATAGTACAAAAACCTTTTGTTTTGTAGGCTCGAAGTGATATGATTCCGGGTATTGTAGTACTGATTCAAAAAATGGCACGAGGATTCATGGCTCGTAGATACTTTAGACGGCTGAAGGCCGCCTACATCATTGCACTTTATTATCGACAATCAAAGCGACGGTCTTACATTAACGCGCTCAGAGACACGTTCAAGGATGCGCCAAACATGCGCGACTACGGCAAACGTTTGACATGGCCTAAAGATAATTATGCGGTAAGATCGATTGTCCCTATGTTAAGGATGATGTTTGTGAGATGGTACAGTTGGATGATACTTAGAAAGATACCCAAAGAAGACTGGCCACAGCTACGTTTGAAGGTATTTTTTTAGACCAAGTAGACAATTGAGTAAAATTAATAATAGTTTCGTTTGAGTAAAATTTTTTCTTTTTTTTTTTCGTGCAGATGTCTGCAGCATCAGTATTACGCTCAAAACGTCCTTATTATGGACAAGACAGAAAGTGGGTTGGAAACTATCTTTCACAATTTTCAGAGAATAATCATTACGATGTTTTCAATGCGTCAACAAACAACATTAAAAATACCGATCACTTTAGAAAGATACTGTTTAGTGCTTTTATCAAGAAAACAAATAAGTATGTCAAATCAACGAACGACATCTGAACTGAAAAACCAATGGACTTATTTTTTTGAATGATTTCAGACACAACAAGCCGGCAGATCGTGTTATGATCGTGACAGAACAAGCTCTGTACAAACTAGAGAGTTCAAAGTTTAAAAATATGAAAAAAGTCATGAATATTTCGGAAATCACTGGCCTTAGTGTTTCGCCAGGAAAGGATCAACTCATCATAATTCATTCTAATTATGGAAACGACTTTATTATTTCAATCGAGGCTACGGAAGATAGAGTCGGCGAGCTTGTTGGCATATTAAATAATGCGTACTATCAGTACGTACAACAAAATTGACAATTTATACACTAGCGGTAAATTTTTTTATCTCACTTTTTGCTTTTATATTTTTAGATTACGAAAGATGGACCTAGTAGTAACAGTTGACGTAAAGTTCAAGTGTATGCTTGGAAATAAGAGAAAATTCTTGCAAATTGAAGTAATGCCTGACGTATTGGAACCAACATTCAAAAAAGTTGGTGAAAATATCGTTTATGCTATACCACCATCAGTAGATATAATACAAAATAGTGCCAACAATAGAATGAAGATTAAAACTGAGAGTTAATTTTAAGCTTCTTCAAATCAACAATATCTAATTTTGTATATAATAATATCAAATTCAATATTTTTCTATTAAGAGTTTTTAAAGCTATATATTGAGGAATATCCTTCCTGTACTTGATATATGAAATCAGCTTCTAGGGCTGTATAGGTTTTAAAAATAATTTTCAATTTTAATACACGATGTTGTACCTTAGAAATACTTGAGAACTCAAAATTAGAATTACGTTATTGACAGATATATCTTTGCTTATGTGTAAAAAAATATTTTGTCGCAATTTTTCATAGAAAAAGATTAATTGTTATAATGAATTGTTAAACAAAATTTTATGAAACACTTTGGTTAAGTATTTATATTTTGTGTAATTTTAAGATACGTTACGCTTATGATCACTACTGGTGCAGTTATGTGAGAGAAAGTTGGTTGAAGAAATGAAAGTTCAACTTGAAAATATTGATCAATTTCGGTTTTATCAACGTTACCAAGTTGAATTGTGTACATGTGTTTAAAAAAAAAAAAAAAAAAAAGATTTATACTTGCTGATAAAGTACTTACTTAGAAAATTATTTTAATAAGTAATAAACACTTCATTTCAATTGATTTTAAACATTTGAATGCATTCCTGCAAATATCTGTGCCATTTAAAATGAAATAAAATTCAATTTTTATTTTTTCAACATATTAACATGAATTAGATTAAAAAGGAAAACAACTCTAATAAATTGGTATTTTGCATTAATTCTTTATTTTAATTCTTTAAAAAAGCAATAGAATTGTGTGGCTGTTTGTACAAAAATATTTTCAGTTATACAAAGTAACATTCCACAAATACTTTTATCGAACGATTTGAGTTTCGTAGCAGTAGTAATATTTGTACATTGTCCTAACTAAAAATCGTAGGTGATCAAAACAATATCCGAACTTGTATCATTTCTCAAAAGCGAATAAATTTTTTTTTGTTTCGCAAACTCTGATCAGATCTTACTGTGCAAAAATTGAACACAGCGTTATTCAAAGCAAAGAGATTCACCGTCCATCAACACACTTTGGACGATCCAAATTATTTCCTATTCTCTCTCTCTCTCGAGTCACAAAAACTTTCGTTGCTTTCTTTTTTCTTCCGTTCAAAAAAATCGGTACACAGCGAGTCCGGATACATATATACATGCGTTTAGATCCCACGCAGAGGGTCGTACAGTACACTCGTACACAAAGAGCCGTATAAAATTACGCTTAACTATACCATATTACACACGCTAATATACACACAAGCAGATAAATAAAATATACTCCGTTACACAACGCTTCGCTCGCGCAATTTGAATGCTCAGACTTTTTTCTAGATTCACAATGTATTGTTGTACGTGCTAAGTACCTGATTATTCGAATATTTCACTAAACAAAAAAAAAAAACTGCGATCCAGAATCAAAATGTAGTAGGTCCGATATACATTAGAATATGCCACACGCGTAAAAAAAAGAAAACGACGCGATAAATGATATTCTATGTACACAGAAGAAAATAAATAAGAAGGTATATGTATGTATACGCGCTTAATATGTACAAAGTCAGTCGGTTCGGCAAAACTAATTTACTCGATCTCCTCGAGAGCGGAGATGAGGTTGTCAAGGCCCAGCAGGAAGCCTTCCTCGCGGTTGCCCTGCTGCCACTCCCTTCGGTGGGTGAGTCTCATGCCGCTCGGCACCTCGGACGTCTTTGCGAAATCGATCAGCCAAACGCCGACCTTGTCGTTGTCGTAGATCATGAAAACGCTGCTACCGATCACCTGGACGAAACGAAAGGCAAACGGTTAAAAAAAAAAAAAAAAAAAAATGACAAAGAAATCACGATCGAATCATCATGATGCCTACCTCGTGCGTGAGAAAGTACTCGGACTGCTCGAGCCTGCGCCTGAGCTCGACGAGTTTCTCGAGCAGCCGGCACCTGGTGTCCTTCCTGCTGCCCAGGAAGAGCTTGAGGGTCCCGAGGACCTGCTCGTGCGACTTGACCCTCTTGAGATCGGTAATGGGCGGGGCCCCGGGCAGCTTCATCGCTTCGATCCTGAAGCCGTGGCTGCGGGTCGAGCTCTGCTCCTCCCGGAACTGCATGTACCGCAGCTTCGTCACGGCCCCGCGCTCGTGCTCCTCGGGCCTCGGGGCGCTCGGGTCGACCGCCACCATTTTCCGGTACAAATCCGGCCGGGCCGTCGTCTTGGACACCTCGGACTCGAGGAAGGTGCGCGTGCCCAGCTTGATGTCTATCACGTGGGGCTCCGTGAAGCCGAACAACAGATCCTGCAGCTCTATGAAAGTCTCACCCCGGTACTCGACCTCCCGGTAGTACCTGTTTTTTTTTTTTTTTTTTTTTTTGCAACAATCACGCTATACTCTCTTTTTTCTCTCCATCGGTTCGATTGCAATAAATGATGGTATAATGGGTGTATGTGTACCTAGGGATGCAGTCCTTGAGGGTCTCGTCCCGGCTGAGGGCCTCGTAGACCATGCGCTCCGTGTTCTCGTCCGGGCCGCCGTTTCGCCTCTTCCAAACGGTGCCCGGGCCGGCCGGCGCAAAGTCGTCCGGGTGCCCGGACAGCTGGAACCAGGACTTGAGTCTGTTCTTCAGCAGCACGTCGCTCGCCGGCGCGGTCAGGTCCAGCGCGTTCTGCAACGACAAAGGGAATTTACTTTTCATCATCTTTTTATTATTATTATTATCATCATCGCCATAACCATCATTTAAATCATTATTATCATTATCATTATCACAAACGTCATCACTAAATTTTCATTTTTTTGTTGAGACCAGCCCTTCTCGTTTAAGGGCCGCATCGAGCGAACCAATAGCAAACGCGTCGTACTACTAGACTCTACGAAACGATGCGGACGGTGGAAGAAAAAAAACAGTTCTGAATCGAAACTCGTTTCGCGCGCGACTTGTGCCGTGAAAATTGATAATTTATTCATGACGCAAATCGCGAATCTTTTTGCTCCTTCTCGCCACTGCTCGCTCACGAAGGGGGGCAGCATATAGGAGCATCAATCTTTCGAAAATTACGCAATTATCGATACGAAAGAGAGGCGCTCCTCGATTAGTTTCTTCTCCTATCCTTCGTCTTCGCGTTATGCAATTGATTCAATTGCCACCATCACACGTGTTATTCAATCAACGAGTTGCACATAAAATCGACACAAAAGACAAAGGGCGATTAGTCCTACCTCGCGATCCTCCATTCCTCGGCGGTACATATCGACTCTCGTGGCTTTAATATGCACGTACAACTCACAATGGCTATCACTCGACAACTGAATCGTTATCGACACATCTGCTTCTGCTTACAGTCATATCAGCAACTACTTAGTATAAATAGATACATAATGACCGTCAGTATTCGTATAAATCATAACGAAGAAAGTACGAGCTTTCACCCATGAAAATATAAGGTCCGCAATAAATCAGCACCGGGACACCCTTTCGTCACCGATTCTAACAAGTACAGAGGACAATTGACACGCGTCCTTGAGTATATATATATATATGAGAGAGAAGATAATTGTATGTGCTCACCAGTGCGAGGAACTTGAGGGACAGGTCCTCCTCGGGCATGCTGGCGTCGGAGAGCACCAGGGGAAATTGCTCGAGTTTTTGGAGGGCGACCCGATCGGAGGGTGGCCAGGCCGAGGCCGCCTTCATCGCGACGGCCGTGGCTATCGTCGCCGTCTGGCCGTTTATAGTCGTGCCCGTCGAGTTGTCGCCGCACTTTGTCGTTCGGTTGTTGTTGACGATGGCCTCGAGGATCGTACAGTGTACGGGCCTGGGCGAGCCAGCGCTGCTCGATCGATTGTTATGGCTATGGTTGCTGTTGTTTCTACTGTTGTTGCTGTTGTTGTTGTTGCTGTTGTTGTTGTTGTTGTTGCGCCTCCACTGGAAAACGTTACCCGCGGCATTTTTGAGTCGTCGCTGATGCTCCTTCGTCGCTGATGACGATGACTCTTTGCCGTTCGAGGGCTGCAATCATACGACATACAATTCTTATGTAGATATATATGTATGTAGGGATCAAATTAGTCGAAATGTATAAATATTGGTATGAACCAAGTCTTAACGTTTTTACATCATAGGTATGTAAGCACAACAAGGCCTATTAAGCGCTCTAGGAACCGAAAGTTGGCTTAATTGGGGTCGTACTGTATGAGTACGATAAATTTCTCACTTTGAAAAGTCTCGACAATTCTCTGGCGTATAATAATCAGTATCCAATGGCCTGGAAGATACTTTTAGTCACAAATATGTTATAACCGCAGTTAACGCACACTAATGGACAAGAGTAATATTATATGGTTCCATGTGGATATAAGTGATTGAGCGTAAATACCGTTACGAGTCACTCGTCGGGCCAAAACTACCATACAAGTAAATAAGTAGGTACACGTAGGAAGAGACGAAAAAGCATTCTGTGTGTGATATGTTGTTGGCACGTGTATCCGAATACCCGCCAAAAAACCGATAAGGTGTACGTATACGTGTATATTCTCGCGCTATCGCAATCGCGTTGAAATTCCAACTCGTCATCTTATTTTGTTCGACGTTTTCAAACCACCTCTCGCTATAGTTATGCCCACGTATACAAACTTGGAAATCTTATCCATCGAATTGTATGTATACAGTATGGAATTAAGTAAATCAAGCATATACGTATGGATGTGTTTTGGGTTATTGCATATAATACTGCAGCGAAAAACAAAAAGTATGAGCCAAACTTGGGTTTAGGATCAGTGTGATTCACATAGTCCGTTGCAACAATAGCGTTTTGTTTTCGTAAATTTCCGAAATTCCATAAAGTATACATTTTTGTGTTAATTGGCGCACATTTTAAGCAACGTAAAAAAATAATTCTCCGATGTAGCTGCGTGGCTCTTATCTTTCAAAGTTCGACTTCCGCTGTGCGTAGCAAAAGATTCATCGGGTCTTTTTTGCCAATCCCAGATATAAGCGCGTCCTTTGGACGTACCGTATAAACAAAGGAGGGACGTGGCCGCGTGCGGGCAACACTATCAATCCGAATAATAAAAAAAAAAATCTTCACTGCAAGTAGAGAGAAAAAAAAGCCACACAACACGAGAATCTCTTTACCTTCGCCTTATCTTATCATATTTGTATACACATCCTCGAGCGAGCACGTATGTATGCATGTACACACCGAGACACCGCCGCGTCTTTGGTCGCCGCATGTTATAGAAACATGATAACGAAATTCGACAAGTTTGACGTCAACGGAGCTCAATCGGCCAAGCCAGCTCTAATTAAAGCAGATTTATCAACTGGCTTTGTTAACCGCACACTTGCCCCGAAATCGTGAATTTGCCTCAAAGCCGATACATATCGTGAATCAGAGATTGACAATCAAATAAATTCCCACGGATTTTCCTCCTCGATGTCGTATATATATATATAAGTTGGATGCAATAAAAAATTAAGTGTATTGGCTATCCGAGAGTGTTCGGGTCGATCCCGATGAAGTATACATGATGGATATGTAGAGTGATCGGTGCGACCCGACCTCCTCGTCCGTTCTCGCGACTCTCCCCTGTCACAACGCGCGTTACATCGGCTTTCGTCTACTTGTCAACGCACTCCTCGCATCCTCTCTCTCGACACTCGTAAGCTATATTAATCACACGAGACTGTCCGTTTGATTGGACAAACACATACGTGCATACATATGTATAGTTATTATTGGCAACGATTGAGTGATCAAATCAGTTTTTTCCTTTTTTTTACACTGCTCGTATATGTATAGGGTTGCTTTGTAAAATGAGCCTCGATGTGATTCCAAAGGCAAGAAAGTATACGAAAGACAGGAGTCGAGATGTTTGGTGCGCAAGATACGCTGGTAGAGTAAGCGTGCCGAAGGCTAACGATTTGAGATTATCCACGCGAACGGGATGGCTTTGAAATCGGTGCTCATTTGTACTCCTACTTCTACGCGTTGAGTAAAGTTGTGTGTGTGTGCGTAGTTGGAATGGCCCAAAGAAATCTCGAGAGTTTAGAGAGGAAAAAAAAAAACAACCAAGGAGGGTGTCGTTGGTTTATTTCAAAACGGAGTCGCACGGCGCGTTGCGTGAATTTAATTTTTTACGAGCGGAAAGGGGCCATTAGTATGGGAGAGAACGGAAGCGGAAACGAGAGATTCGCCGATTTCCTGTACACTCGCAGTCTGCATCGGGTATTAGTTTCCATTCGCTCGGCAGCTTCATATACCGTAGGATCATGTCGATCCCGAGTTTGCTTTTCGACCGATGCGCAACCCTGCCGATCGATCGACTGATATCGTAAAAACACGAAAGGACACACGTTGCGCGTCAAATTAAATCTCATTGTTTTCATAGGAATTTAATTCAACCCCTACACAATTTACCATTATTATGCGGTGTATTTTTATTTTGTGTATATAGATTATACTTTTATTTTCATCTACAGATGTTATAATAAACACAAAGATCGGCTTTATTGTGATTTACACTACTTACAAAAGAGTGCACCATTGTTTTTTCCTATATACCTTATTGCCTAACAGCCGATTTTGCGTTTAGCACAGCTGCGGATCGTCCGTACGGACCATTTTACATTGATCCGATGGAGAGTCGGTCAATCAGCCACATCCGTGAATAACATATACTTATGTTATGTACACGCCGGCGGAAATGGAATAAAACGAGCCCCGTACTCATTTTTTGTTCGTACCAAAGTGTGAATATTGTTTAAAACATTTCAAGCTTGACGGAGTTGCCGAGAATAGCCATATACAACGATACCAGAAACGGCGCTAATTCGCCGCCCGCTGGGTACCGGCGAGCTCTTTGTTTTTCAGCGATATACCTACGATCGCAAAAACTAGTTTTCTTTCCAGTGGCTTGTACGAATGTACCTATATAACCTATAGGAGACCAGTGCGGGGCAGGGGAGGAGATAATCGAAATGAATATTCATCCTCGAATTTCCTTATCGCCGACGACCCCGGTGTTTTCTGTCCACGGACGCGTTCGTCATCGGCAAATCACCCGATCCGGCCGATGGATCGTTCTCTTTACCGAAAAATCGGTTCGCGGTGCTAAATGGGAAAAAGGGGCAGAGGGAGGAAAGAAGCAACAAAAATAAGGGCGAGAGAAAGAGAAAAGTAGGATTTCTTTGCGCCCGCGTTTCTGTGTTGGTATACATAAATATACACCTACATGTGTGTGCGAGCGACCGCGTGCGTCAATGCTCGACCGCGATTCGATAAAAAAGTTGGAGCGACTCTCGTGTTCTCGTTTCTGATTCCCTCCCTCTCTTTCGTTCTCTCGTGCTCATATATATATGTACACCCATACATATATACATGTGATGTTCAGCTCGTACGTGTGTACCTAATAAAACCATCAGGACACGCGCGTTTATTATTTACACACGTGTGTTTGTTATGTATAAGTAGATGGGTTCCGGAAGCAGATAAAAAAAAAAAAAAAGGTCGTGTGCGGTGGTGCGGGAAAAAATATGATGAAATATTTTTATCCCGAGGATGAAAGGTACGCCGCGTTTCGGGACAGATAAGATTTATGTCATCGTGTACCCGGACACGCGGAAGCAATTATAGGTACTTCATTACGAGTGTCAAGTATAGGTACTTTTCGAGCTTCCCATGTCGGGCTCATCCGTACATATAATAAGGGAGTTTGTATAAACTCGTTTGAATGAAATTACCAAAGTACAGGTGTACATAGCCTCGGATGTGTGTTTTCGTTGGGAAAAGCGCGCCAGGCTAACGTAATACATGTGATTTTCGATGCCGATGATGATCGGCCGATTGACGTCATTCGATCGCGCGAGGTGCTCGAACCGCCGAGTGATAAAAGTTCGAGTGGTCAACAAGTTTGGCATTCTCGTGTACGCGCCACCCGGATGTAAAAATATCTTGGGACTTTCGGAACGTTGGGCGATTGATCTGTCACTATACAAATCGATAAGTACATACACAATATAGCTTTGCGGATCGTTAATATTCAATTGCATTGGAATTATCGAGAAATACAAAGGACGCGACACAATAATGTCCGGTTGCTCGCCTGCGCCATCACCTCCCGAGTTTTAAATATATATTTATATACGCGTGTGCCCTTTTAAGGTATAGCATTAGACGAATATAATCGAAGGAGCATCGGAGCGCGCGTTTGCACATATCCTATGAGGGATGATTTATTATTCTGCGGGCATCGGAGGATGTGTATTTATATTGTCGAAGAGGAGCCCCTATTTTTACATACTTATTTATTTATTTATACCCCTTGTAATGTGAGTGGGTATAGCACTCAAAATATTTACAATCGAATAAACAATATACACATCCGTACTGGTTTTAAAAGCCAAATAATTGAGACTATAGAGAGACAATATTTCCAAGCGAGCCGCGCGCAGTTATAAATAATATGGGCATTTTAGCATTTGACTCGCGAGACTGGCGGGTATAGAGTAACACACAGACACACGATATACGTAAACAGTGTAGAATTCGACCTCCCCATTAGAGATTTGCAAAGCTAATGCGGCTACGTCTACGACGTTGGTGGTCGCGATTTTTCTTCGCACTCCATCAGGCGCTTTTTTTACATGTATATGCGGCGCGTCTGTCGAGACGCGTCTCACGGCGGAACAAAAGGAGAGGCATTGTCTATTATTTCTCTCGCCTTTCTTTGCGACATTATCGACCAATCGAGCTTGGGTATGCGCGACACGCGTCACCTCTCGTTCCGGGAAAATTTCCCCCATCGAGGGGGTGATGTGGGTTTATGTTTTTTGCGAACAAAAAACCACATCGAATGAATATGTATATACATTTCTCTTTGGTAAAAAGATTCGAATGGAAAAACAAAATTTAAACAAAAAAAAAACGCATTGTAAAATAAAGAAACGAAATGCCAATTTGGTGAAATCACACGCGCGTGTACGCAATGACACACAGAGCAAAAATTTCA